GTGCTCCGTACGGAGCCCCAGGGCTCCGCGAGAGAAACCCAGGGGCTCCGCGAGCTATTGGATTACTTTTCAAAATACTGACTAGTTTTGTAACTGTTCTAATAAGAAGCAATAACAGCTTTGATAAAATCTGACAACGAAATAGCCTCGAAATATGGCAAAGAGGCGGAATTGAAAAATGACATTATTTATAAGCAGGAGCGCAGCCAGGATTCTTAAGAGGGTGGTGGTTCAAAATTGGAATCGGAAATTTCCGCGCAACATTCTTCGCGATTAAAAAAAACGGATAACGAGATTTCTATTGCGTAAAATATTTAATCCATGACCGATGCGAGCATTTAACGAACAATTGAAATTTATTTTATTGCATTCGGCTCCGTCGGTAGTTTCAGAATGAAAAAAAGGTACATCGCGGAGCGCGCACTATTGATTGCGTGCGGCTCCGTCGGTAGTTTCATAATGGGGGAAAAGGTACATCGCGCGCACAATTGACTCTGTTTCGATTTCGCAGTTACTACGATGAAAACCTAACATAACACCAATTTTTGTGATTTACGATGTCTATAAATACGTTTTCAATCTGAGGTGAGTCTGCTGAAACCAAACCTGTGATCTTCCATTTTAAGTTTTAGTTTTATTATTTTAGAATGCCGCTTTCCAATCAAGAAATTTGAGTTGCGGATTTATCTCTTTATTAATTATTATTTTTAGCATTTCGTAACGATGACTATAATATGGTAACATGTTTTTCACATTGAACTCGTAATTCCCCACGAGAACAAAAAAGCGAATAACGTCGTCATTGTGTAACTATACATGTATATATATGCCGAGGGAAATTTTTGATTTAGGGAGAATAAACACCGGCGTAAAGATGTTAAAAGGTTCAAAGACACGCCATGCTGACGAAAAAAATCGGCGATTGTAACAAAATGCAATTGCGCACGTTATTAGCGGCCTTTTAAGTCTTCCAAAAATGTCAAAAGGGAAAAGATTCGACCCCTTATTTATTAATATGTTTGTCAAGGGTCAAATTTACAGCTTTAGTGTATATATAATTTATGTTTGAAATTTAGATTTATGTATGACTTGTATTAACCCTAAGGTTCAGCATTTAAATTAAGTAAAGTACTTTTAACTTGCTCAGGAATATTAATCTGAAAGTAACAACTTTAACATTTATTTTGGGGCTCCGTGAATAATAGTCAACCTTTCCAAGGGCTCCGCAACACCAAAAGTTTGAGAACCCCTGCTCTAATCGATATTTACTGAAGGCGTTTATGGGTCACATAATGATCTGCGAATCATGTTAAATGTAAATACAATTTTAAGAGACCAGTCCTTATCAAAACGTCTTGACTCGCAGCCCTATTGTTGTCAAATTTACGATGGTTCTGTTTTACATGTTGGTTCTCGTAAAAGGAGGGTGATAAACTTTTTAGACACAAAGTGTGTACACGAATCGATTTTTTATATTTAGTCGTTGTTGTTATGAAAAAAATCGCTATTTATCATAACCATCATACCAATCGAATATGATCTTGCTTTATTTTTTTAACTTTTTTCTGTTGCACACGGGGCCCTATATTTCACTGTTTTATTGTAATCCTCTACGTTTGCCAGCTTACTATTTGTTGACGCGAGAACCGTTTGCAAGTATCATCTTTACGATAAAGAAACTGCAACGCTTGTAAAACTATTTTCACAAATTTCTCCATATGCTTTTATCGAGGTGTCAAAATTGGGCGTCCGTGTTTCCTTATTGGCTTTCTGCGTTTACAATCCATTTCACCTCAGTATACGTAAATCATGCATGATTCGTGGTCACACACAGAGGCAATGCCTTCACCCATTGGGTTGAAGTGTTCATATAGTAGTACATGTTTTTCCAATTTACCTTTGAAGATAATAGTCTTCCACGTCTGGAAAATTTTATCCTGTAAATAATAATTCTTACAATACTACACTCTTGTAAATGCTTGTCCCAAATAGTATGTTTTGCGGGAAAGGTCATTCGCGGACAAATTCGGTTTTCAAAGAAAGATGTTAACACAAGTTAAGAATCTGGCAAAAATTATTCGTCGGGATTTTGTGCAACACCCACATATTTTAATGATAGATAAACCCGCCTAAGTAGGTAATTGTACAATTAAATAGTTTAATCAGACATTAGCAAAACTTAAATTCAGTCTTAGGTGTTTTTTACCAAGAGGTGAAGGTTGCAAAAATAGGTAATTCAAATACGCTGAGTCGTATACAGCCCACATCCGTAAAGAAATCCACTGGAGCGAGTCAAGTGTATTGATTTTAATAATGCTTGACAGCACTTGTTTGTACAGCGCACTTGTAGCACGAAGCGCAAACCCACACCCACGCGAGATACGCGAATTAAAAAATAATAATTGTCTTTTTTTTTGTAGTGTGACTTCATTACCTTTACATTCAGTGCTTTAAGCATATAGCTCGCCAAGGTTTCTTGTCCGGTGGCGGAGAAAGCCGCAGCCGACCCCAACAATCCTTTTGCATGTAATTATTCCCCACGAGACTCGAATTTGCGAACCCTCGCAGGGAGCAATCGAGGGTTTCCAGCGCTTCACACGATATGCCAACCACATGTGTTATGTAATGGGCATGTGAGTATTATACAAGTCAGTGGACTTGTAATGTTCATTGGGAATCATGTGTGTCAACAACGATGCGGTGGCTAGCTATTATACGGAGATCGGTGAATCAATTTCTCTAGAAAAAAAAACGTGTAATATCATGTAATACCAACAAAAGTTTACGACTCTACCAAGGTGGCCCTTAACCGGGCCAAATTTAAGCGGCGTCTCCTCTCATTCGATATTTTGTTTCCACGCCTACTAGATGTGTTACTTATTGAACAAGCAATGCCCTTGCAGGTGACCTATTATCAAATCTTATTGATAATTGGGCGAACGTTAATCACGTATCGTTATCCACTCCAATTTCCGAACCCGCGGCGTTCTTTCATTAGTACGGGCTTCAATTCGTCAAATTAATATATAATACGCGTAATGGTAGGCGGATTATGACCACTTAGCGATTGCTATCACGGGTTATTAATACATTTTATAGCTTATATATCGACCTCTCGTGCTGGTTAACTATTTTCAATCCATAACGCTTGAAGACGACGTTTCAAAACACTCGATCCTTGGCCGTTCTTTGTCGGCTCTTTATTTCGTCATACATGCTTTAGAATGCCGCAGGCTATTCAGCACAAGTACGTAGTTCAGTTTGTTCGTGTCAGCATGTGGTACATATTGTCAGCTCGTTTATGTGTAAAGGAAATTTAGTTGAGATGAAGTGAATTTGAGTAATGTATTATAACAAAAGATACTTCAGTTGTGGAATAATGGAATTGAAATAATCAACCAAAAAAGTTGAGATTTACTAGGAATTCTGATAACTTTCCGTATCGTTACAAAGATGAATACACAGCACGAGCGTATCTACACAGTCAGTAGATACTTCAGATTATAACAGGAAGTAGCATTGGAAGCTAGAGTATTTTTGTTTATTCTTTGCTGTGTGGATGCGTGGAGTGCTCTAACATGTTCCCTAGCTTTTATCTATGTTATAGGAAGTTTTGTTTAGATAAAGTTGTGGAATATTGAAACAATGAAATTGTAATAATCGAGCATCGAAGCTAGTTGTTGCGAAAAATACCAATAATTGCCGTATAGTTGCAAAAATAAGTACGAGGTGAAGCCATAAAAGTAGCACTTTGAGGACTCTCAAAGTCTCAATCAACACAGACTTTTCAGCATGTCTTTCTTTTTCTTGCAATATTATTGTCTTGAACTGATTGTTCGGGAAATTTTGAAGATCACAGTTCAAATATCTCAGGTAGCATCTATAATACGAGAGTTTGCTACGTATCAGTCGTGTTTATTCTTTCCTGTGCATGAATTGCACTTAGATGCATAAACACAGCTACAGTTAACGGAGTGCTTATTTTCGAATTACCTATATCGTGCAGTCAACGAACACTTGGTGAACGAAATCAATTCTCTGGGGTTTTAAGTAACTAATATAGTTCACTAGCACCAATATTAAGAGTAATTAAGAGAGTAGCCAATGTTTATAGTCGATAATAAAGGGTCGATATTATCATAACTTCAATCTGAAGTCGTTCAGAATAATTGCCTTCGGCCTTTATATTTAATAGTATTTTCAAAATTCTAACTGTGCACAAGGAAACCCAAATATGGGACTTTTGATATAGTATTCATAGGCCTAGAACTGAAGCGTAAATGGAACTGCTAGTGCCGCAAGAAATATATAAAAGTCATCTGTAATAACGATGTATGGTGAAACAATTTTTAACAACAAACTCATAATGGTTTAAATACATGGATGGATTTACCTGAAATTCAAAAGATGAGATTAGGTAATTGAGACAATCGAAATTACTGCTCAGACACCGAATTATTTCTTGGGCGAGAGTTACGCTTGCGGATAGAGCGTTTATTTGTGTTTTGTGACAATTGCGGAACTGCACATCGGCTTATTTAACCTACATATATGCTCATACAGATACATAATCCGTTCTCCCAAAAGCTGCTAAAAAAAGCGAAACATCAAATTAAAATCCAATCTTTTATGAAAATAGTTGAAACTATTAAATAGATATCACATAAGTTAAGGCCGTATTGTATATTAGGTTCCATACCTATGAATGAACGGTTTCCACAACGTAATAAAAATAATATACAAACCGTCTACATTACCAGTGGGTCATATTCAGTAATTGATATAAATTATTTAGAGCCCGGTTCATTAATATAATATTATTACAGCTGAAGACTAGTAATCAAAATTCAATATCGTTGTCGCGGATGCGCGACTTGAACGGAAAACAAATTTAATACTATGAACTTATGAAGCACCTTGAACAAGATAAAGCTGCGTATTCAAGAGTGTAGGGTAAAGTCTGATCTCATGTCTATTTCTTCCGGCTGTGACAGACCTTCAGTTCAGTTATATAGATATTCGCCTGACAGTGACAGTTATCAACGGGGCACAATTCGGTGTGACACTGTACACCAGGCCATCCCAATCTGGGGACAGAAGGCGATTCTCTGCGGGCCATGGCCCACGAGCAAAGGTGCCATTCGTGAATATTGCATTAATCTGGAATGAATTTACTGTGATTTTTTTTTTTGACCTAAATTGCATGTGCTCTTTTGCTCTCCTTTGTTGGCGTTTGTAGTATTTAACGTGCGCATTGAGTAACAAAAACCATGTCATGGGATAAACTAGGTATTTTTATAGACTAGGTGTTGAGACTTTTCGGAAGGGGGTGTCTGATCACAAAGTTTTGAGAACCACTCATGAAATTTTTTCTCATTACAATACATGATGTTTTAGCTATACTCGTAGAATACTTTGCATATTGCATTTTATTGCCGAGCTTAGAACACCATGTTTGCGAGTTTATCAATTCCCAGCCAGCGTATGGTACCATTGGCAGTTATGTGGACATAGATCATCAAAACATTTACGATTTCAAGTCGCAATCATTCAGGTAAAGCGTGTTTATCGCTCAAATATCATTAAAAATACAGGTTACACGTGTTTTATTCGATCTTTGCGTGGTTCGTGATTTCAATAGATGCCGCTGTCATTAACAGATAAATTTTTGTTTTTGGACGATAAACTCAAAAATCAGCACAGTCAAGATCTGATATCCCAATATATGGCGTCTTACTATGGGGGATAATCCCGGTTCGTTTTAACCAGTTACCCAGTTCATATCTATATCTCCCAGGGTTGAATAAACTACCATGACGACGTTTTTCATAATACGTTTGGTATTATGTTATGATATATATATTTTTTTATTAGTAATAAATAATATATATACACTATGCACGAACGTAAAGTAATTGAATAGATAATATATACAATAGTTAAGGTAGACTTAACATTCTTGGCAAATGGTTAAATGAGGCATATGAAGTTAGGTAAGGCAAAAGGTTTTTCTCATAAAACACAAACCAATGCTACAGTTGTTTCTGCAAATGTGGAAAGAACAAATTCATGGCCTTTTATTTTTTTGAGCCTCCTAATGTACTTATGTCTGCTGACTATATCCCCGTATAAATGAACGATAAAAAGGTAAGGGTGAACACCCTAACAATAAACGAGGTACTTACATATATTTATCTTCGGCAGATATTCCCACCAGGCAAGGAAAAATTGTCTGGTCATATGTTTGTCGAGACAATAGTCTTCTATATATAACGAGTGTTCACAAATAGGACTAAATTAATCATTTACAACGAATACTGAGGGATGATCTGATCAAAGAATATCAGTATGTTGATTCAAGGTTTGTGGATCGTGTATAGTTAGACAGCAATTGGCAACCTGCGGCTCATTTCGGATTTCTGGCTTCTGTGAATCAAATTAGCTACAACAGTTTTTTGTTAGAGACAGTGGGAATTCAATAAAATCGGGGCCATAAAGTCGATTACTACTTACTAATTACACATCACAGCAGGTATAAGGGGTCGAGAGCGGTAACGGTGAATCAAACCTGCAAAACAAGCTTTTTCTTTAATTTTCAGTTCTTTTCGTCGTAAACTGAATTATTGCATCAAGTTATTAAGCTTCTTTTTAGTAAGAACTAGAATGATGCTCCATAACTGGTTTTCCGAGAGTTTTAATAGCCACTGACATCATAGAGTAGATGTTGCTAATAGGTTTCAGTTTGACGGAAAGAATAGCAAATGGCTCTTTCAATGTTAAAGGTTGCCGATCCGTGAGTTAGACAATGTCGATTGTAGAGAATAGCGAAGGTATTGAAAGTTTTACAACAGAGTCTACACGAGAATAGCAATTGGGAACAATTTTTCATGCAAAATTTCAACTCCAAAATCTAATTTGTTGGTCTGATATACGCTCAAAAGTTGAAATACTACGGTAAAAATTTTTATGAGATTTTTACAGTATGGTGGAGGGTCATCATGCCTTACTTCAGGAATGGTGAATTAGAAAGATGATATGAAAAATATTAAACTCTACTCAAAGAATCCTATCTCTCACATCTCTCGTCTCCGCATTTCTAAATAACTTTGGTTCTCAGTTTTTTAATTGCGAATAATTTTATAAGGTAGGTTTATTTATATAGTGTATAGCAATATCTAATTCAGGCGTGGGCAAGGTTTTTGGATGTCGAAAATTTTTCGCCCATCTATACTGGCGGGCCAAGTGAGTGTGAGGTAAAAATTTTATGAACAATCTTTACAGTGCTGCAAAAGCGAAAAACAATAAGTCGTGTCAAAACTAAATTTAATAACAACCTCAACAAATTTCCTGAGCTTTTTTTTAGCTAAAACATCAAAAATCGATTTAAGCTTGGTTGTGGCAGCATCAGGCGGGCCAAATTGACTTACCCTACGGGCCGGATTTGGCCCGCGAGTCCTAGTATGCCTATGCCGGATCCAGTTCCTCTATCTATAATCTATATAATACGAAACTGTTATTACTTAAAAATCCTGTGAAGGGTATTATTTTTAATATTTGAATATCATTTCACAGTCATCATGTCTTATCATAAATATACCATGGATATATAGTTTCGATATTGTCATGGAAAGTGGATTAGCAAGTGAAAACATTAACAACTTGTTGAATATTGGATCTAAAACTGGAAAAACATTCATGTTTACCGAAGAGCAGATAACGAAGCAATTAGTGGATATGCGAGAGCAAACTGACTTTATGAAAAAGTTCAGATGCGCTATCGGGATTGCCTTACGGGAGATAAAAACATTACGGACCACAATGTCTACAGAAAACCCCAAACCAAATGATGTTGCAACAACTCGAAAGCGGCATTCGTCATGTTCGGCTATAGCAGACTCTAGCTCCGTCGATAATACTTTGGCGGGAACAGATTTGGCGACATCTAATGTTGGTGCTCCTAATTCATGTTCTAGCGATGCCAAAATGTGTGGAAAAGAAAGCTGTGTTTGTTCTGAATTTGGGGGAATAGATCTCGCAATTTTGAGAGAATATTTATCAAAAATGGCACTGAATGAAGTTAAACTTTTTCCACCAACTCAAACTCTGTCTGAATATGTAAAACATGTGCATATTGACAAATTAAAAAGCACAAGTAAAACCACTGAAAACGCCATCCGCCATATTGACTCACTTAAACAAGTTGTTGCAAATAAGAACGCTGCTGTTGAAAAACTTTGCAAACAGTTGACTCAAGCAAGAATAATGAGAGTCAAGCGAGAGGCCAAGTTGGAACAAAAACTGATGGAAATGAAAGAATGGAAAGAAAAGTATGAAAAAGTAAAGAAAAATAATGAAAAACAAGTAAAAATAACGCAAGGTTTGAGATTGACTTTGAACGCCGAAAGGCAAAAAGTGAAATCGTCGGAGAAAATGGCGCGGAGCTTGGATCAAACGCGCCAAGCATTTGAGTCGTTAAAATCTCAAGCAGGGCAGCTAATGACTGCCCTTAGAAACAAGGACCAAGAAATAGACGAACTTACAGCAAAATTAGAAGAGATGGAAGGCGGAAATAGCTACATGAATTTTCGGGAACAGATGACGTCACAATGTCACGGGTTTTCGGAGTACTCAAATATGACATCATCGATGTGCCAAACGGATCCTCAGCACTGTATGGATTGTGAAAGATACAGAAATGAATTGGACGAGCTGCGCAATAAATACGATATACTTTCTCGCGATTTTGAAAATTATCGAAGGACGATCAGGCCTCACGATATGTTTCAAGACGTTCCTTTCAATTCATCGCACCATTCGCGAGATAGCGCAATAGAGTATTCCGGTCGCCATTATAATACTCATAGTTTGCCTCACAATCATCCGTATGGAAATAGAAGGGGGAGAATGCACGCTCCATACACATCTATTGATAGCTACAGAAGAGTGTCGAGACCTCCGTTGAGAAGAAGACTACATTACGATATGCAGAATCATGGGAACCAAAATCCAGGCACAGTCTCTAGCGCCACTGATCCATCCTCGAAACCAACAGCCGACGCTCTGCTGTCACCTATCGATGAGAGTGATGAGAGCAACGACGAAGTTTCTTCCTCAACTAAATCTGAATCGCTGAATGAAAGTGTAAGCGTTGCAGAGATTTCAAATGAATATGCTGTTACCCGGCCATCGGAATGCAAAACGTTGCTGCATCCGTATGAAACGACGTCGGTTCCACAAAGTATACGGCCATCTTCATTCGGAACACCATATAACGAGAACCAAACCTCATCCATCTGTCCTGAAACAGTCACTGTTACTCAACTTCCCTCTTCTTATAACCCAGGTATAACTCCACCGTCTTCTCAAAGTACACCAATTTCTACAAACCAAGAGCAGACGCCGTTTGGAGTAAAAAAAGATGTGCATCCTGAGTTTCATGAAGATGGGCATAATTTCCCTGGTCACATAAATCACCACCATCACAGTAACCACCGTTCGCATAAGAAGCCAATGTCTCTTGAACTTCACGAAAAAGCTTTAAACTCACCAAATGCGTTAAAAACAAATTCACAAAATCAATCGCCATTTGTACATGAAAAATCAGCAAAAACGTCATACCTCGAATTGGGCACGAGTGCCACACCCTCGCCCAGCAGTTCGATAAAATCGGGAGGCGACGGTCTGATGGAACCAGAACTCTGCTTGAATAGTTTTATCCGCACTAGCGAACAGGACACGTTTTTAGATACAGCGTCCGATCTAAGTAGCTTGCCGAATGACAGTACTGAGTACCAACAAGACACTATTAATGAAGCTGATATTGGAGCGGTACCCTCAACGTTTGGGATAATTTGGCATCCTGCTTTAATCAAGCCAGGTCTTTCAGAGACCTCGAGTAACGACAAAATAAACTCTGATAATATAGCTGGAAATATATGGGGCGCTGAATCACCTAACTCCACAGATATTACAAAACCTATTGTTCATACGCGCAAATCTAAAAAGACGGAACCTCGTTGCGTTAATTACAAAGGACATAAAATCGACGTAACAAATTTTTCACTTCAGACTTTCAGGGAAATTATTTGGTCGTTAGACGGCGGGCCAGAGTCATCAGATGACTTCATAAAATTTTTGGCCTCTCTTGCTAAAAAATTGAATGCGAATCCAAAATGGGCCGGTAAGCATTCAATGGGGAATCCTGCCGATTGGTTATCACTACGGGGAGTTTACTGAACACTCTTATTTTAGCCACTGTACTTTCGCATGGCTAACTTATTGTATTCTAATTGTTAATTACCGGGTGTTATTATTATAGACATACAAAGTTCATCATTTATTACTTTAAAACTTCTTATTGTTGCTGCTATATAAATAATTCTAGTCTAATTAGCTTTCAAATGCGCTTATATATTTCTAACTAATATGAATGACTCATGAGTAGCCATGTTAGTTAGGTGTTGACCTTGGCTCGTCACGAACTTTTTGTAGGATGATCTTCACTTCCGATCTGATAATCGCTTCGTAAGAGCGGTTACTCGTGTGTACGTAGTTTCTTGGGTTTGGAGAACTTAATCTTTTTTGTTCACGCTATAATTTTCTATTTTTAACCTGTGGGGGGTTCGCTTTAACATCACCCAGCATGAAAAGAGCTACGAACCGGAATCTGTGCGATTTAGTGTTTGCCGCAAGTCGATTTGTAGGCTTATATACCTTGTGAATTTGCTGATGTCTTTTTCAAATTTCTGATGCCCAAATTTAGGGGAGAAGTAAGCCAATGAAATTGTTATGCTCTTACATTCTGAAATATACTCATTCTGGTCCCGTAGTATGTGTACCAGGTTATGGTTAGGCCATGATTTTATTCCGATTTTCCTTATTCTAGTTATATTCGGCGACTGTCTGTGTTAGCCAAGTGAACATACCCTCTGCCAATAAGTTTCAGTTTCTTTATACAACTTGATGTAAAGTAGGCGAACAAAATTAGTTACCTCCATATTGATACACACACTTCTGGAGCGCCCTCATTCTTACCGAAGTATCCTTGTCTAAGTCTCCAAGTCAGATTCAAAAACATTAGGAAAATGGTTGCAAATAACGCCAGCCACCCTGACATTTTTTTTTGCTTAATTTTCTTGTGCAATTCATCTTCTGGTGCTTCTAGAATAAATAATATTTCTATAATTTCTTTCAAATAAAATGATGCATTTCACCGCACTTAATTCATGGCTGAATGTTAATTTGCCATATATATCGGTAGTTGGTTTATTTTAATTAAAAAATGATAGAATAAACAATTGCATTTGATTTGAGTACTTACTATTAATGTAGGGGGTGGTCACGCGCTTATGGCTTGGATATACTCGACAGCGAAGTTCATCTGTAGAGCGAGCGATTCTTTAAAATACTGTTAGATTTCAGTGGAAACTTGGACCTCCAGAAGTATGCGCACCAAGATGGCGCACAACCTGAGCATAGTATGTGTGTACCGGTTAGGATTCAGGTTGTGCGACAACTTGGTGCGCATACTTCTGGAGCACCTTTTTATCTGGCTTTGTTTGGAGCAAAGGGCACAAGTGAGTGTCGTATCGAGTCATTATGTAAAAACATTTGCCCCCCTCCCATGTTTGGCTGTTTACGCTCTTGAATATGATTCCGATATTTTATCGATAAATATAGAACTTTAGAGTATAAATCGTTCAAGTCAAGACTAGCGCATCCTATGAAAATTCTTATAACATAACTATAATACACTCTTCATCATATAATCTTATCAGCGCATCCTCGTTGTGATGAAGGCCGCAGAAGAATACAGCGCTACAGAAAAACTTCAACAAACAACAGGCCCTCGTCGTAAATAATATAATTGAAAATAAATTGGTCCTGATTAAGCTCGTTTTGAGTATTCACGTTTTCCCCATTTAATCGAACTCGTCATGATGGTAAAGGGTATTCCCGTTATGTGTGTACAAGGTTACGGTTAGGCCGTGATTTTATCCCAATTCTACTTATTTTAGTTTTATTACAATTCGGGGACTGTCTGTGTTAGACAAGTGAATAAACCCCCTGTCCATAGGCTTCAGTCCCTTTACAGAACTTGATGCAAAGTAGACGAACAAAATTAGTAACCTCCATGTTGGTACACACACTTCTGGAGCGCCGGTAAAAGTATACCACTGGTAAACTTGCGTATGTCAGGTAATCAACTGATCAACAATTTTACTTTGAAATATTGAGAACAATACTATATATATTTAAATATCTAACATTACTTCAAATGAAATCGCGAGGTTTTAAATATTAAAACACAAAGGCCGCGACAAATAAATAAACAACATTGCGACAACGAGTAAACAAACGCAGCGGAAATTTGATTCACAATTTATTACCTTCAGTCTTCATTCTTTTATCTCGTGGGATAATGAAAAGCATCAGCAAACAAACCCGGGTTTAAGCGAAAGGTGTTGAAAAATGTTATACTTTTGTTCCGATGAGTTGTCTGTCGGTCAGTTTGAAGATCGTTACAATTATATGAGAACCTGTTATTTGAGATTAGTGATTTAGGATTACACTATTGCTGCTAATCCAAAAAAACTATAATCAGAATGGTGCAAATTTAATTTCATTCTCACGAGAACAGATAAAACATGATCCATCCAGTTCCTTGAAAAAACAATTAACAATAACAAGTAGTCTTCCCCAAAAGTTGAGTAAGCTCACTCAATATGAGAGAACTCTTTAGGGACACGAAATGCAATGAAAAGCATACTTGTTATGATAGATGCAACGAAACCCTTTAGGGGCATTTTAAATTGTGAGCTTCTTTTCTGCCAATTTGAAACAGAACAGAGCCAATCAACAACAATTAAAAATCAACAAATTCTAAATCCAATTCTCATTCAATTCTGCCGATCAATAATATTAACTATGTGCAAGAAACTGCTTCAGTCCTTGCCGCCCCGTGGTAGTTCACGTCGCAGCTGGTCGGCCACGAGTCGTTTTCCTTCACCGTCAACTCCATGCTTTTGGAACAAAATTCTATATATCTGCATGGATCCTTAATCGGATGATAATCCGTGGTTTGCCGTGTCATTGACCCATCATTCGTGTTCTTCGGAATGAATAAGACATTTCTAGTATTCTTTCTAACGTTAGCCATTAATCACGTCAATTAAGACATGTGACGTGAAAATCTATATTGTCTGGATTAGGATTTTTTATATTCTTACCTTGACAACACTTAGTGTCTTCGAATAATGCTAAATTTGACATTCTTCTGGTCTCAACTCACTCTACCTGACTTCTCGTTTACAAAATAGCTGAAGGCCTCCTTACCGGGAGCAATAGATTATTACGTCATTATCTGAAGCTTTTGCTAATTTATTTATACGTGTTCAATTATGACAAAATAAAACAACGTTGTATGGTGTATCGATTTTACGAGTTGGGGGATCCGTGGATTAGTAATTTTGATTTAATGATTCTATCGGCCGGATTTCAGAAAATTTCATGGAATCTCAGAGGGACATTACAATTCTGTCTAAAGTGGGCTTTAAAATTAAATAGGCTCTACCAGCAGTTCCCAACTTTTTTCAATGAATTCTTCCCTTTTCCTATTTTGGAACTGTATATTCCTTTCTCATTAAGCATGAAAACTCTGTTTACGTTATTTATTCAATATTTAAAAAACCTTTGTTAGTGATTAGCGCACCTCGGACTTGGCTTTTTCACAATTTGAACAGATTAAAATGAATCCATAAATTTGTAGTACAATAATACTAAAAAACTAAACGATATGGATTTCGTACAAAACCCCACTAACGAAAAAAATGTCGGATTAGAGAAAAGTAGGCCCCATTTAAAAATTTAGGATTAGTTATTATCCAGTTGGGTTTGAGTTTGGAATGATTTGAAAATGGCGCAATCTACATGACTAGCCCTAACACGTACCTTAACCGAATAATTACCAATTTTCTTATTTAGTGCGTTGGCGAGGATGTTTTTTATGAAGGCTTTGTACAAAAGCTCTAACACATATTAGTCAACGACACCAAATAGAAGTAAAATTCCCTCATAAAATTTCTACTTGGGGAGGAATTCAATCCCGGTTTAGGAAGGAATGGGCTATGCCCAGTGGTGGGAATCAAATTTTTTGTCAACCGGTTCCCTCACAAAAGTTATATTTTTCAGTCGGTTCTGTTACAAACAGAACATTGGCAGTAATCACTAATACTAACCGGTTCGCTGATCTCATAAAATTCCGTGAGACGGTTCTATAGAGGCGGTGCGAACCGGCTGAATCCCACCACTGGCTGTGCCAACCCAGAAAGAAGGCCATGCGTCAAGTTAATGCATGCTGAAGCTTTGGCTGCGTTTACCAGGTGCTCAATGCCTAGGTTTGAAAACATTTCATATTCTGGCTTTGGGCGTGCAGATATTTGCCCCTATATCAACTATAGTAGAACCAATCGTACGGGTAGGTGGTTGAGTGGATTGAAGTTGTGAACCCCCCAGAGGGGTCAAGGTTGAGAAACCACTTGAATAATTCGGAATTCTGCTAATAAAAGAGTAGACTTTTGTTTACGCCACATAGAATTTCCGCCGGAAGCGTACGAATGCTAAACTGGGACGTTCTGTTGAAAATCTGTCCAGTGGATTGTGGATTGACAGTTTGTTTCGGCCTGCTTGCTAACACGACTACCGACATTTACACGTATAAACATGTAAAGTTAATAAAGGCAGACGAAATATAAGTTATCATATTACACATGACGCGTCGTAGAGGGTGATCCAAATAACAGAACCCATAAATTTCTTATTTACTTTTATGAAAATTTATTGAACACTTGCACTTCTGTTTGTTAATGGTTGAAACCCAAAAGTTTAAGTAATCCCGAAACTTTGCACAAAAGTTATGTTCTCCAAACAATGTGTTTCAAATGTATTTCGTTACAGATATATGGACTATCCCCGTTTGCATAATTTCGCTGTATTAATCCACTTTATGCAAAGTTCTATGCTATGCTAGTTTTTATTAGAATTAATAATAAAACTCAATTTATAAATTTCATCTACTTTAAAACATATTACGAGTGTAAGATTACTAATAACTTCCAGGCGCCAAATTAATAGATATTTGGTTATTTAATATACGAGAGCGATTTCTCTACTCATTAGAAGGCATCTCGTTGAGCTAGAGATATTGATACAAAATTTTATTAGCAGCAAAAATTCTCCTTATCTAGATTAATGTTGTTATCTTATCCGATTAACATAATGTAAACATCCACGGGGAAATGTGCTCTGTTGACTCGAACAACTTTCTCAGCTAATTGACTGAAAGCTTCCCTGTTTCGGCCCCGTTCCTGGGAGCTGATGTAGCAGAAAAATATGCAGTGGTCATAGTTGTATTAAAATCGTTCAAATGAAAAATGTGTTTATAGTATACATCAGGGCTACCCAATTTGCAGAACGCGCTCGGAACCCGTCCATTTCGAGAATTCGATTCGGACCGCGTCTGATTCCTGATTTTGTAGCATTGGCTCATCAACTTTGGATATAAATGTGAAATTTCTCTCAGATTAAATAACTTTTATTCATATTATCAGATTTTTTTTATTTCTTTTTGCTTATATTTGCACCTAGCTATATTTAAAAAGAAACTGTGACACAATAATAAATAATGCGCATAGCGTTGTCTTGATTCTCCACGAATCACTTCTGTTAACTCTTTAGCTCACATTTAGAGACACTGAAATAAACTTAGATTTAATGAGAAACATGTGTTCTAAAAGTAACGTACCCCGGTCATTTTGAAGTAATGTACACGCATCTTTGGTAAAAACATCACGAATTTATATAGAGGTGCTAAATTTTGTTCTCGCCCATGAGGGACTGTATCCACAATGGCAATAATGGCACAAAAACAATCAAATAACAACTGTATTTTGGTATTTATATATATATATATATGTCAAAACGTCCTATATAACTAGTACATATTTTTTTTTACAAATTTCGCTATAATGACACTCCTATATGCGAGTACAGTGGTACTTGACTCAAACAAACCTATCTATCTCACGTTGGGCACAATTATTTTGGTTATGATCTTCATTAGGCTGTGAAAAATTGAAATAGTTTGGAGTAACGCATATGGTTCTCATTTTTCTCACCTTTGACCACGAAATAAGAACGGCTGAAGTGTGGTTCCTGGTATATATTTTGTATACACTCATTCGTTACTTATGTGAGTACCGCTAGATGTCGATAAAACATTGCGTGCCGTTCAACTTTAAATTTAAAAAAACTCACTAAA